ATGAGATAAATGCATAGCACATAATAGGGTGGTTAGCCCAGAATACAACACTCAACAGATATTAGTTTCTTCCATCTATATTTCCTTAGTTAATACAATTTTTTGAATCTATAAAATCCTACCTGACTGCAGATTCATCAGATCTCCCAGGATCTATTAAAGGAAAAGATAAAATGCATTGTAAATCAATAACAAATACATAGAATATTAAAAACATAAGAAGGCATAGTCATGCATGCCTGTAATCTCAACTACTTGGGAGACTGAGGCAGGAGGATCACTTGAGAAACCCAGAAGTTTCAGACCAGTTTGGAAAACATAGCAAGACTCTACCGTCATAAAAAAAATTATGCACTCGTGTGCATGCTTTAGACCATTTTTCTTTAAAGTATAGGACTGATGCTTTGTTACGAAGCATTCCTTTGGGAGCATACTTGAGACCTTATTAGAATTAATATAAATTATACCTACTGGTACGTGATTAGTGCAGTAGGAACTCTTACTTCCCTTACTTTGTATTTATTAAATGTAAAGAATAAATTTATCAAAATTTGATTTCTACAAGTGAACTTCAGTATACAAGTCATCTTAGACAAAGCATATGAGATTGACTAAAAATGGTATTGTTAGCAGAACAGGTGTGATGAGTGACCAGTGTCAAAGAGCATGATTTCTGAACCAAAATCTGAAGGGCTAACTGCCTTCATAGTATACAGTAGTTCCCTTATCCATGACATGTGTGGAAAAGACATACTTGCCACATTTTTCTTTGCTCTCACACCACAGAAACAAACATCAACAAAGAAGGCTTCCATGATCAAATGTAGGGAGGGTTTTTCCCCACCAACAAACAAGCAATCATTTCTGCAGATGACAAAAGCTGGGTATCCTGTAATTCAGTTCTCTGATAGCATCAGATTCCACAGGTAAAGGGCTCAGTACCATGAGACTGCCTCCCTACGTCAGTCCTAAGTCTGAAACTCCAGAACTTCTGACCAATTGGCTTCAATTTGTGTTAAATTGAATTGCTGGAATGGCTCAAAGTACTCAGGGAAACACATTTACCAGTTTGCTATGAATGACATTACAAAAGGTACAGATGAAGCGTTGCACACTGCAAAGTGTGGGGGAAGTGGGACGAACATTACATGCCCTCCCAGGACACACCATCCTCCAGGAACCTCAATGTATTCAGCGCACTGGAAGCTCTCCAAGCCCAGTCCCTTTGGGTCTTTATGAAAGGTTTATTACATATGCACCACTGATTAAGTAAATCACTGGCCGTTGGTGACTGAAAACCTTCAGGCTTTCTCTTCTCCCCAGAGTCTGCAGAGTGGGACAAGAGATCTCAACCCTCTAATCAACATCTTCACGATAATGACCAGTTGCCATCCTGAATCTACATAGGGGCTTCCAGCTGTCAATCATTATCATACAAAAAGACATCAGTTTGGAATTTCTAATGATTTTAAGAACTGTACACCAAGAAATGAGTCAATGTCTAAACAGATTTTACATTCGTTTTTACTTCTGTGGTTACAGCTAATAGTCAACTGTATTCCCAAAATATCACATGGAAAACTTCAGAAATAAACATGTCATAAGTTTTAGTGTGCCATTCTGAGAAGTATGATGAAACCTTGAGCCCCTCCATCCAGACCAGGATGTGAATTAGCCCTTTGTTCGGTACATCCACACTGCATATGCTGTTCACCCATTAGTCATCAACACGGTCTCCTTCTGTTGCCCGCCATCAACATCATTAGAGCCTGAAGATCCAGGGTCACTCATAGCTCATGAAGTTTTTTCTGACTTAGATTCAGGGGGTGCATAGTGGCCCAACACTGCATTACAATGCCTACCTCGTTCACCTCACTTCATCTCATTACACAGGCATCGTATCACTTCACATCATCACAGGAAAAAGGGTGAGAACCATCACAATATATTTTATGATGTTATTGTTAATTTCTTACTGTGCCTAATTTATAAATTAAATGCTATCATAGATATATATGTGTAGAAAAAATTGGTATGTGATTCAGTACGATTTGTGGTTTCAAGCATTTACTGGGAGTCTTGAAATGTATCTCTTACATTAAGGGGGAACTACTGCACTTACTTTGTTGAACACAATACAGCCTCCCTAGCTCTGCAGTTAAAACTGTTCAGGTTAGGATAAAATGACTGAAGAGCTCAAGAGAGATCACTGTGTTACTCTGGCTAATACTCTTCTGGGAAAGGTGCTGGGTGGTTTACTTAGTTGTAGCTATATGCTCAGCTCTACATATAATAAGGCCCAAATTCACCTGCTATTTTACCTCCCACAGAAAGAACCACTGGAAAGATCACTCATTTAAGAGCTTAATCACTCTGAATCACACCTCATATTCAGAGAGAAGCTTAAGAAACACTGGGGAGGTGTGGCAGGCTGCCAGGCAGTACTATCTCATGTGAAAAATGTATAGAAAGAAAACTACCAATGCTTTCCCCTCTCCCTAGCAGGAGAAAAAAAAATCTTTTTAAACCTATATAAAGCAAAATCGTGTGATTTCCTTGTCATCCCTCATGATAGAGAATCTAGTCATAGGTGAGTCATGTCATCATAATACAGACTGTTTTCAAACTCATCCCTCAAAGGAAGAGGATCAGTGAGGAGCATGGGTATTTACCTACAGCATTCACTGCCTGGTCTTATTTCCAACCGAAAGTATGTATGGAAGGCTTTGTGATTCCAGTTTTATAAAGTACAACCTCTTGAACTTCTTCCCTTCCAAGGAACAGAGAGTCTCTCTGAACCCACCCCATAAACCAAGATGCTCCAGTGTGTACTGTGTGGTAATGCATGGTGTCATTTTCCTCAGCCCTTTCTGTTATGTGGCAAATATCTACACAAATCATGTTTTCTAAATATGTAAAGTACATGTCACCAGGTCTTATGATTAAAAAAAGGAAGAAAAGCAAAAGGACAAAGTATATCTTAAATGACTACATTCAATTACTATAGAACTTTAACTTTTTAACTAGTCAAAAATATATCCACTGTATTATTTCAACTATATGACTCTTCTGAAAAAAGTAAAACTGTGAAGACAGAAAAGATCAGTGGTTGGAGTTGCTAGGAAGAAAGGGAGAGATGAACAGATATAGTATTGAGAATTTTTAGGGCAGTGAAACTGTTCTATCATATTAAAATAATAGATACATGTCATTATACATTTGTCCAAATTCACAGACTGTACAGTATTAAGAATGAAGCCTATGTCAACTATGAACTTTGAATGATTTTAATGTGTCAATGTAGGTTCATCTGTTGTAAGAAATGTACCACTTTGGTGGAAAATACTAATAATGGGAGGGGCCATGCATGTGTCGGAGGCATGGAAAATAATGAGAAATCTCTGTACCTTCCTCTCAATTTTGCTGTGAACCTAAAACTGCTCTAAGAAATAAAGTTATTGATCTAAAAGAGATACTCATTGTCTATGCATCCCAGGATTTCCAGAACAAAAACTAAAATGAAAAATAAAAGATATTCACTGAACCTGTTATTATGACATATTTAAGCAAGACATGGTGATCTCCAAAATTGGAGATCAGTAGAGACTAAAGTAATAATAGCATGTGGGCATCATTTCTCAAATTGAAGTATATAAAATACGTAAAACAAATAAATTTAATTGCATGTTCAGGCAAGAAAATATTGATAAAATGATTATTTTATCTTATTTCACAATTCTAAATGGAGTTAGCACAAGATGAAAACTAAATTAGTCATGTAATAAAAATAAAAGACCATTTTTATTCTAATTTTAAATCAGAAATTATTAGGTTATTTAATTTAACAATTTTACTGAAAGGCTAATGAGATGAGGAGGACAGATTGTAATTACCTAATACTGCTATGGTAACTTACAAAGAAATACCTGTTAGTCACTAAAACTCAAAAAAGTAACCAGCATTGCAACTAAGGATGGATCATACAACAGAAACTAGTACCAAGTTACCTTATCTTAGATTATTTGCTGTTAAAATGAAATTTTAAAACAGCACAAAAAATTAAGTTGACACTAAAACTTTTGTGCATAAAAGATTTAATGTAGCAGGCAAAAGACTGACATTCTTAGAAAGGCCCGCATGCAAGGCTGGCCCCTTGGCGGACGTTTTGGAAACAAATTGGGAGGGTTCCCACCATTCCCTGAGAAGAATGGCTTACTGTGTCTAAAGTGTTTAGAGAAACAATGTGGTTACTCTGAACAGATGCTTTCCTTCTGGAAGTCTGGAATTTGGGTACATGTGAGGGAGAGGAACCTCCATTTAAAAAACTTGGGTACTGAGTCTCTAATGAGATTCTGGTACTGGTAGACATAACTGCAGCTGTGTTGACAAAATGCAAGCCTGGGAGAATTAAGCAGATCCTGGGAACTCCACAGGATAGAACTCCTCAAAACTTGTGCCTGGTTTCCTGCAGACTTGACCACATGCACCTTTTCCCTCTAATTTTGCCTGTACCCTTTCATTGTAATAAATAAAAGATCCGAGTATGATTATTTTCTAAGTCCTGTGAGACCTTCTAGTGAATCACCAAACCTGGGGGTGGTCTTGGAAACCCTTGACACAAATACATCATATAAGACTTTTATTAAATTGATATGATATATGTTACTGTCATCAGATGGTTATTTCCAGAATAACTTTCCCTAATCTGTTTTTCTTTTATTTTCTTTTTTCTCCTTGGTATTTGACTTGGAGATTCTTGTATTTCTGTATCTAATTGCATAAAGCCATTGATGCAGGAGGATTATTTGAGCTCAGAAGTTCCAGACCAGCCTGGGCAATATAGTGAGACCTCATCTAAAAATAAATAAATAAATATATACATACATACAAACATACATACCTTATAAAAAATAATAGCTAAGCATGCTGGTGTATGCCTATAGTCCCAGCTACTTGGGAGGCTGAGGTGAAAGGATCATATGAGGCCATGAAGCAGAAGTTGCAGGGAGCCAAGACTGCACCACTACACTCAAGTACTAGCAACACAGAGAGACACTGTCTCAAAAATAAACAGATAAACAAACAAATCCATCAATAAATAATTGTGTATCCAGCTAGATGTAGCCACACATGACTATGGTCCCAGCTACTCAGGAGGATGAGGTAGGAGGACTGCTTAAGCCCAGAAGTTCAAGGCTACAGTAAACTGTAATTGTACCACTGAATAGACACTGTATTCACAACATAGAGACCCCATTTCTTATAATAATAATAATAATAATTAATTAATTATTTAAGTAACTTGTATAACTGGAGAACTCATCATTCAAGTAACTTGTATACCTGGAGAAAAACATATGACTACTGAGTAAAGTACAAGGCTACTACTGATCATAGAGTTCCTTTTACTTGCTTCTAATCTTTTTATTTATTATAAAACTAGAAACATGGTTGACCCATTAAAGGCAGTTCTTCACAGAACAAGTCAAAAAATCAAAAGAACTGCATCCAAAGTGTAGGATGTGTTATCTGCTGCTCCCTGCAAATAGTGGATTTGGTCATAAAAAATCAGCAGTTATTAAATAATTTATTAGTGTGTACATATGCCTGTGCAAGAGCACATGTATGTGTGTATATATGTGCATGTGCATATGTGTATGTACGTGTGTGTAAACAATGACAGATAAAACCATTCTGCTTATGTAAGAATATGTAACATAACTTGTACTTCTCACAAAGGAATTGTTTTTCTGTCTTCTGCACTCAGTAGGTATCTCCAAAATGTAATCTCCAATTTGTATGGGTGCACTCTGGTTCAATTTTACAGTTCTTATTGCCATTTACTTATGGTACAAGAAAGGGACTGTTGAGTTCCCAGTTCTAAAGATAGTTACTTTCTTAGTGACAAAAATTAATATGTAATACAGTTAACCCTTGAACAGCAAGGGTTCTAACTGCAGGGGTTTACTTATATGCAGATTTTATTCTGCCTCTGAAATCCATAGACAGATGAAGACCTTTGTGAGGATCCACTTATGTTTTATGAAAAGTCAATATATTTTTTCTGATGATTTTCTAACAGCTTCATTTCTCTACCTTACTTTGTTGTAAGAACACAGTACAATGCAGCAGCACAAATAAAATGTTTTAATGGACTGTTTATGTTATCAGGAAGGTTTCCAGTCAATGGTGGGTTACTAGCAGCTAAGACGGGGAAATTAAAAGTTATACTCAGATTTTCAACTGCACAGAGATTAGAGTCCCTAACTCCCACATTATTCATGGGTCAACTATAATTATTTATTTACTAAATACAAACAATCTAGTATAAAAATGAAATAGAAGATCCCTATGTATAACAACTTCAATTTGTTATAATGTGACTATAGAGAAAACATACAACATACTACTTGAACAATCTTTTTTTCTTATGCAAAAAATATTATATATTATTTTAGGGATTGTAATTAAGTAAATGATTTTTTTCAGACAATACTGTAATAGATTATAAATTAGATACAACTACCTTCTTAAATAACTCTGAATTCTAAATTAAAGAAGTTAAATTTTGAAAATTAATTTGCTTATATGTATATACATATATATACTTGCAATTTATACATATTTAAAAACTGGTCATTTTCCATTACAATTACCTTAATCTTACATCCTACTTTCTTTCTGATCAAGAGTAGTACCAACAAGATAAATGAGAAATTTACTATCAGAAATCTTACTTACCTTGAAGTATCTTCTTTTTATGTTCCAAAATTTGGTGTCAAATTCTATGTATAAAAAAGTAATAAATAAAATTGCTATTTTAATACTAAAATAAAAAATATTTACCAAACATATTAAATTCTTAAACCATTTCAGGCAATATCAGCACTAATACCAGAATTTAATTTCTGTCCCATACACTTCAAAATTTTAAGTTTTATAAGTTTATTAACCTTTTAATTAAAGAAAAAAGTGAAGTACTCATAAATGAAGGGAGCACAGCTCAGTAATTTAACTATAGTTAGCTGGACATCATGCAAAGTGTCCTGCACTCAGAACAAGCCCTTGCTCTGTAACCAATAGGTATTTGTGTTCAGACAAGTTGCTTCTCTTAGGCTCCATGATTTCTTCTAAAAAAATAATGATTTTGCTACCTTACTTCACTAGGTTGTCAGGAAGATGTAATGAGATTCCATGCTTAAATGTTCAGAGAAATAGTAAAGCCATGGAATAACTTATTCTTGAACTTTATGGCTGAAACTATTTTGGAGTCCCAAATGAAGGTTGATGTGTGTTTTTCCATAGGTTCAAATATTCAAATGTTGCAGTTTTCATAAAATGTTATTAAGTGCTAATTTTGTTTATTAGCTGTATTTATTGTGGCTTATAATTCAGGGCATTTTAGCTAATTCATAACTTATAACTAAATTTATATATATATTATCTCATTAAAATAGATAATTGTCCCCTATTACTGAGCTCATCAATCACACGAAGAGCAGAAAATTAACAGATGTCAAAACCTGGCTTGGACAACCACCACTCCTTCTCTACCTCCTCAAACTCTGAGCCAGCACGTCTGTGCCAGGATCCTCTCCAACTAACACACAAGAAAAACACCCTGTTTTTATTGTTTTTAAGGTTTATGAAGGAAATGCAAGTTGACATTTTCCCATTTCCAAGACATGTACTGACAACATATTTGCATGTAACATCCCATATGTTACTCAGCTCTGTTCTCATTTCATACATCACTGTACATCAATAGTTTTATAGTGATCATCACAATTTTAATATTGGGTATCTCCTGTTTAGGCTTGACTCACACTGCTTCCTTGGAGCTAATCAAGAAATAGTCAAATGACTTTCCAGGGGCAATGCAAAATATGGAATGCTTTATGAATTTGTGAGCCATCCTTAGGCAACAGCCATGCTTATGCTCATCTGCTCCCTATTAATCCAATTTTAAAGTATATGCTGCTGAAACAAGTACAAACCCCTATTTTATACATGGATACTTATGAGTCATAGATGAAGCTTAGCTCTGTTCAATCCAACTCACCTACTTGAGATTCAGAGAATTTTATCGAATGGCTTCCTGTGAAGCGGAACTTTAAGATATATTTGAAACTTGAGGTAGATATGCAAATAGCCTGGGAGATTTTTATTATTGTAGAAATGGATTATTTGAGAAGCCAACTGCAAGTTGATTCCCACTGCTCTGTGGAAAGATAACATGGAACCTTCTGCTATCTAACCAAAGCTGCTGCACAGGATATAAAAAAGCCTCAAGATACAAATCTGATAGCAAAAGGGAAGGGGAATGCTAATCTCTTCCTGCAAGATTATTTGAACATCTCTGACTGGTGGGAACATCTCAACTAATATTTATTAGAGAAAAGACCAACAGGGGTCTCAAAGGATAACTTACCATGAAGACCTAGGCTAAATCTAGCTAAGATGTGGGCTCCAAATAATGTTTTTAGTGTAGGGGAAGCACCAATTTGCTCACTATTTGTGTGGGTAAAGCTAGGAGGCCTGGCTCCCAGAGCAGGGTGCTGAGAACAATGGCTGAGCATAAGTACATAAACTAATAAACACCATAGCTTTGAACACTATGTATGAATCACCATGAAAGCTGAGGGGTCTAAATCAGTGAATGCATCCTGGTGGCAAAGGTCAATCATTATCAGATTGCAGGACCAGTTACAACGGCAACAATACAGCAAGTGAATCCATGAAAACAACAGAATAATTAGAATGGCCCATTTTCCCCCTTCTGACTTGTAAAGAAAGATTGCCTTCCTTGGACTTAGAAAACACCTTAGCTTCTTGGAAAATTCAAAGAATTTTATCTCACAGGAGATAGCCCCAGAGGACAATACAAGATTTTCTGCTAAACTGAACATTTCAAGACCCAATAACTCATTAGAAAAGTCAGGCCAAGCCTGGTAGCTAGCATTTTGAGAGGCCGAGGCAGGTGGATTACTTAGGCTCAAGAGTTCAAGACTAGCCTAGGCAACATAGTGAGACCCGGCCTCAAAAATAAATAAATAAATAAATAAATAAATAAATAAAAGAAGAAGAAGAAGAAGAAGAAGAAGAAGAAGAAGAAGAAGAAGAAGAAGAAAGAAAGAAATGAAGAAAAAAGAAGTCCAAGATGTGGCTCTATTTTTATCTGATGCATGGGGATTTTACTTAGAATAAAATGAACCACATTGAGATCCCTAGGCATAAAGGTCTTAAAAGTCCTGAAAGAGTCTTGCATTTTACTTCTAACTAATCTAGCCTTCTGCTTGACTTCTAGCTAAAAAGTGGACTAACTCTTGCTATTTCAAACTATCTGAACCAAACTATGAACTCTCACCTAATCTACAAGATTCAGTGGTTGCAATTATTTTAAACATCAATTTAGTATTAACTGGCCTTTTAATACAAACTCTTACCTTGTCAAACCATGACAAATAGCATAATCTTCTGCATCTCATACATACACGAGTAAAGACATTAATATTTTGCTGAAGAAAAATATTGACAATACCTGATGAGCCATAGTATACAGGAAGCATGAGGACTGCTCTGAAATAACAAAGAAATAACTCCATTCAAGAACTTTAATAAAGTCATTACTAAACAGCTAGTTCGATACACTCTATCAATTTAATATCCTGCCTGTCAATGTAGACATAATAACCATTTACATGTACTTGTGTCTATAAGCATCTTGGGTGCTCAAGTGTTCATCTTTGTAAATTATCACCAAGGCTAAAAGGGATGACAAGGAAGTCTCCTGTTCCACTGAGGTATGACATAATACAAGTTGCTAACTTATAGTCCCTTGATGGCCAAAACACTGTGCTGAGGTCGTTTATCTAAAGTAGGCAAAGATTTAAATGAAGATTTCCCCACTGCTTTCCTAGTCTGATATATTGTAATTCATATCTGCTAGGAGTCAGATAAGAGCTATTTACAGCCTCAAACGATAAATAATAACAATAATGACAATACTAGTCATAAACTCAAAGTCCACACTTCAAAAATAAAATACAAAAAACTTTAGCTAATATAAGATTACAAGACCAAAAACATCAGATTACAAATAACAAAAACTCTATAAGAGAAAATGAATCCTACTATATGTTATGTTGCTTAGTCCAAATATTTGCTTTTCTACCTGATTTGTGTTGATATTTTTCACTATATGCCAATAATTGTTAATCTTATTAATATTTCTGACTTGAATGACTCCACTCTAGAACATTCAGGTTTTTATTTTAAACAAGAACTACTGTACTGTCTCAGCCTATCAACAGCATATACATTTGCTTGTTTTTTCACTAAAAATTCCACCATTTGCTGTCTCTTGCAAATTAAAGCAAATAAAAGGGTGTGTTTCTGTCCTATAAAACAGCAAAAAAAAAAAAAATAAATAAATTAGAAATTTCTCAAATGAACTAAAAATCTTCTCTAAGATGTTTGAACTTCAACATACAATATAGAAAGGAAGTAAATGAAAACCAGTCCCTTGTTTCTCACTCTGTGCTTTCTGATGTGCTGCTCTTTGCCTTGCAAGCACACCTCTTCTGCCTCCCCACATTAACTGTGGTCATCACCAAAACTCCCTTCAAACATACCAGTCCCAAGAATCCTTGCTTTGATCACAGCACTTAGCATGGTATATTGTAATCACTTCATTGTTTCCCACTGAAACCAAGAGATTCTTGAGGGTAAGGCCTGTACCTTTTATCTCTATAGCCCCCAAAACCTAAAACATAGTAGCAAATACTTTAAGCTTTTTACATAAATTAAGATCTAAATTGCTATCTCTAGAGCAGTGTTTCTTAAACCATATTCCAAAGACTATTTGCTTATTGCAACCCAAGAGAAAGATTCCATGACAATCTGCATATGAGAAGTATTGGATTTTATATAACAATAATCAAGAAATCTCTTGAACTTTACCTAATACCCATTTGACAATACTTTTTGTGGCAAATATTAACATTTAAGGAATTAAGAGTTTCAGAGGTACAGTTTCCAGAGCTTCCCAATACAGTTGGAGGCTTCCTCTGGGTGGTACAAACTTGCTTGATTCACTTCTATCAATGATATCAGGATCCCAGATGCCAATGTCAGGCACTCCTGCTCCAAATGGGTCACTAAAGAAATGAGCTCTGAATTAAGAGTGATTGGCTTCAAATGTACATATTTTCCATATTATTAAATAGTCCATGGGTTTCTTTTAATACAGAGAACAGATTTTTATCTTAACTGTTACAAGGCTCAGTACGTTCTGTGTAAGAGAGAGAGGTTTAAAAAACTTAAAACTAAATATTTTAAAAAACCAAAGCTCAGTAAGAAATTCTATTTTCAATTGTAATGGTAATGCTGGGACCCTAATGCAACTCTACTTTTTAAATCCATTTTTATTGGTTTCCATTTAAATGGCTATTTAAAGTTATTTTTTATTTTAGGCTAAGTATAAAGCAAATACAAATATAATGGCTTATCAAAAAAGTTCTCATACTGATCCATATGGGTTACTTCTAGCATAATAAAAGTCAATAAGCCACTTGCATGTTTCAGGAAGACTGCTGAGGAGAAAGATATAATGTCTGCAATATTCATAAAGTATCCAACTATAACCAGGAATAACCTAAAAAAAACTTCTAGGCATTCATATGGGAAGATGATTATTTGTGGTATAAAGAAAAAGAGTTTTAAACTAAATTCTAAAATTCAACCCCATAACTGAGGGATTTATATAATCTATAGACTATATATTATAAACAAATACACAATGACTTAAAAGCCTTGAAATGTTTATCAAAATATACTACAACATAAGAGTTGTAAACTCAAATACTTACAAGGACAAAGGAAGGTTACCTGAGTAAGGAAAGTACTGATGTGGGCACAGGAGCAAACTGGAGAATATATGCCTTTTATAAAGGAGCATCCTCTGCACAGCAGCCCAACAGTGATAGAAACTCAGGGGACACCATATTTTATTTTTTAAGACAAGTCTGAAGTCCAGGTTTCTGCATAAGTCTTTTAAATTTTACATGTTGACTCAATTTATAGAGGCAAACAAATCTGTGCACATTTAGAATATAGCCCTTTTATTTTTATATTTGCTACGAACGTGTAACTAAATGGTTGTGTATAATCCAAGTATTTGCATGTAAAATATGTACTTTCTCTAGTATCATATGTTTTACCAAAAAAATCAGGCCCTCATATATAATAAAAATTGCTATTAAGAATAATACCCACTTCAAGAATTTTTCCAACACATATTCATTTACAATCTATATGTATATAATTTTCCCAGATTGCTAGCCAAATAGTTTATATGACTGCCAACACTAAATTATTAAAATAATTTCTATGGAAATTCTCTTAATCAAAAGAATTTTGATTTATATCAAATTTATATCAACTTCATGGATTTCAGTATGTAAAGCTGACATCCTGGTTATGCTAAAGATCTACAAACTTAACAGACATACTGAGATAGTTCATAATACAACTTCAACTAAAAAGTAAAATTAGGATTGGCTATTATTTGAGAAAATCCAACTTGTGATGAACATTTGTTGACACATAATCACCTGTATGGTGACAAAGGGACATGAAATCATTAAAGAGTCAGCTTCTACTTATTGAAAGATTACCCATAAGCACATTTTTAAAAACTCTCTGAATGGCAGTGAATGACTAATGGTGGGAAAAAATGGTGTTATTCTGTAAGCTGAGAGATACTGCCAATAATATTCCCTTTCACTTCCCAGTCACAGACAGAGAAAGACAGGTAAGTCAAGCTAATCTTATTGAAAAGGAGAGCTTTGAAGAAAGTAGCACCTAGCAAATGCCAACTCTTCTAGAGATTTTTTACATTTTTTGAGATACAGAATGCATATATTACACTTATCTATTCTGGAGTTCCTAAACAAGAGTGTATCCAAACCTGGAGGTTTTGTTTGTTT